ATGTTGCATCTATGACTCAAGTTTGGTTCAAATTGGACTGGTATTTTGGTCAAATGAAACCAATTCTTTTTTAAATTTGACCAAAATACCACATATCGGGAATTTTATTGAAAACAATGGCACCACATGAATAACATACAATGTAATGCGGCAAGTTGCCAAAACTCAATAAAGAACTTAAACGGAGGTACAATGAAAACTAACAGAAGCAAATAAATCGATCATTAAAAGGAGCAACATAATGACTGTACAAAACCGGACAATAGATACCAAAGTGGTAGTGTGAAGTGGAAAACAATACCTAATACAAACAAACGTACATACAGATACGCTTGTTTATGGTGTAAAGCGAAAAATAAAACCGACATTATCAATATGAAGCATCTGAAAGGACGGAAATGATATATGGAGTAAACAGGGGTCGGCTCAGATAACACCAGCCGAATTGCAATGGGGTTGCACAGCGAAGGACAGAATGAGAGCTAGAAAACAAACACAAGCATAGAGCTGGGGGTCTGGCACCAGGGAAATTCACTGTGTCACTGAGCCATCATCCTCAGACCCCTCATCTTCCAGACAATGGATGAGCCGATGCTGACACTTAGGCACAGGTACTTTGCGAGGGACTTACTCTTCCTGGTGCCAAACCCCAACAGCTTCAGACCAGGTACCAGTCGCTTGTGGGCACATCCCGTCGAACCGATGATGAGGACAATGATTCTACATCTGTACGGAGTGAAGAGTGTAATAATATCAGCAAGAGGCTTATAGTATTGGAACTTGGTTTCATAGCATTGCTGAACAAACACATCAAAGGGGGTGGAGATTTCGACAATGAAGGCATGTTTGTGGTTTGGGTCTAGCAATAGCAGGTCAGGTTTCCTATGGGGGAGGTGAGCAAATAAACGGGAATTGATATTAAACGTCGCACTATTAACCATTTTGTTTTTGATCAGTTGGGAACGAGGACGGAGCTCAAGTAATTCCTCCTCAATCAGATCTACAATCCGGTCATGTCTAGCTGTAAATCTATTTTTGAACTCCATACAACCGTTAAGAACATGAGATGCTGTGTCATGGGGGTTGTTGCAGAGGGGGCAGGATTTAGGTATGGAGTTAGGGTAGTACCTATGTAGGAGAGATCTGCATTCTAAGAGTTGCAAGTGGGCCTTGAAAATAAACTTTACAAGCTTATCACTTATGTTAATGTTATTAAGGTAACCGGTCGAAATTAAAAGTCGATTCCTTGACTACTGAACACTAGTCCCTGGGAGGATTTTGATTTTAGTCTGCCGACTCTACAAAGTGTATGTTTATGTTTCAGGTGGGCAAACAGTGCGGGTGATGAGCGGAAGGCCAGAGACACAGTTTCGTCAGCAGCTGAAACAATGACAAATTCATCCCCACGGTCTTCTAATAGGTGTTCACGCATGAGCAGTTCATTTAGTTCCACCCAGACAGATTTCGGCCAGTTGACCTTACCACCCTTAATCACCCTGCCTTGTTGGTCCACCTGGAACCCACCAAAGGAAGGCTCCTCTGGGTCGACAGATTTCGGTGCCTTGCGTTTCGTCAGAGAAGTTCGAGCAATTGACCTTATTTGGGGGTCGTCAGAATTGAGTGTTTCTATTAACAAAAAGGAAGCTCTTTTAGCAATGTACATTGTCGTTGGACTGCACACACCCAGGCCTCCCATCTTTCTGGGGATAAACATGATATCACGGTTTCTCGATGTGTTCAGTCCAAGCCAACCTCGAATATGACCTACAATCACATCTTCCATTGCTGACAATCTGTTCAATGGGAATGAGATATTACACATGTAAAAATTGAGTTTGGAAATGGCAATTTGGTTGATGGCTTGGATCTTTGCAACTACTGGAAGCAAACTGTTGCTGTTGCTCAGCCTCTGCTTAAACTCAGCAGAGATCTTGTCCAGCTGAGAGGTACATGCTTTGCTATCCAGACTAGTTTCAAAACCCAGGTAGGCATAAGAACCAGCTTTACCTAATTTAGGGATGGGTTCACCTTGTACCACCGGCTGAACTTTGCCAGTTCCATCGTTTTTGTACCAGTTATTACCAGACCTTTGGCCATGAAGGATGGCACATTTCCTATGTTTGATCTTCATGCTCGTGAAATAAGGAAACATTTCCGTTTTCTCACACATTTCCTGCAGAATGCATTCAGAGGTGGTACCAAGGCTATGTCATCCACGTATGCTTGGACTGGGCAGGGTATCGTTGGGTATGGGATATTACGCCACATCCATCTGAGCCAGATGTTGATCCCCTGCTCAAACACCAGCACCAAAAATGGACAGCCCTGAATAATACCTATTGTTCTGTTAATGGGATCTGTTAAACCATTACATGTCTCCACCTCAAACGTGGAATTACTGTAGATATCCTTAGTCAAATGTATTAACATGTCGGGATATCCGTAGGCTTTAAGAGATTCTAGCATAAAACTGTGATTAATGCTGCCGAAAGCATCGGCCAAGTCCAAAAACGTTATGAACATTTTGCTAGACTGGTGACGGAAGTCTGAGATGGCGGTATTTAGGCCAAAAACATGTTCTTGTAAACCACTTCGGGGTAATGAACCATTTTGACTTAGGGACAATCTACCGGTCTCAATGATCCATGGGATTACTCTGTGCTCCAAAACCTTCATAAACAGCCTGTAAGCGGTCAGCAAAAGTGAAATTGGTCTCCACTCAGACCGGTCCACTGAGTCCGGTGCTGCTTTCGGAATCAGTTTAATTGTTGCTCTTTTCCAGTCGCTTGGTATCCGACCATTCATCAAACAGGTGTTTAAAACAGACGTCAGAATCGGGATGCAGTTTGTGATGCATGCTTTCAGATCTACATAAGAGACGCGATCATGTCCGGGTGCGCTCTTTTTTGACGTTGACTTCAATGCGGCACGTACTTCTCCTTCCGTTATAAACTGAACAAGGTGCGTAGAATCGTCTGGTGGTTGCAGGGTTACCTGACCTTTCCATGGTGCATTGTCGAGGGACCAGCATCCATTGGCATGTGGGTTCTTTTGTTCGAAGAACTCCTTCACAATTGATGCAGGAGCTGGACAAACCACAGCGGGAGATTCAACGTTATCGTTGTTAATGATCTGAATGGCCCTTTTTCTGTTTGACTTCCACAGTTGCGTAATGCGTGATCTTGTTACTGGCTTTGGGTTTGAATGGGATTTAGCCACCATGGAGAAACATGGCTGAATGTCTTCTTTTATCAATTCTAGGCACGAATGAATCAAGTTAAGCCTCTCGGTCTTGCTTGCATTCCGCGAGGGCTTCACACTGTTGGGGATGGGAAATTTACTCAAGATACGATTGGAGTATTTCAGAAATGATTGTTTGAGTCGGCAATTTTATGAGTTTAATCCAGCTAGCCGGGGACGGGTGACTGAATTTACCAGCAGGTCCGTGGCGTTTGGAAGCAATGCCCATTCGAAAAGCCCGTTCAGACTTTTCAAACTCGGCCCAGTTGTGTTCATCCATTAAACCGGCGACATGGTGGTGATTGTTTGCTGCGTCATAGGTGCTTACCACTGGTATTTCATGCTGCCGAATTTTGCCACCCCTCATACTCTCCTTCAAGGCCGACTTCAGCTCCTAGGTGATCCCCATATCCTCCGAAAAAGAACGAACGTTGACCAGGGACATCACCAGGGATGTAAGTACCAACAATTCAAGCCAAAGATGGTATTTGGAGGGTAAAACTGTGTGGAAGTGAGAGCGTTGGTCGAACACGTCTGCTCCACGTGCCATCCTGGTACATACATACAGACATACGTATGGACATACGTACAGACATAATGATTGCATAGTCTCTTTCCTGAACTTCATTCAGATAAGACAAAAATATTTTGTAACAATTCATTACAATACAATACAATACAATAAAATTTGATTATCCCAGTGTGGGAAATTCCATGGCCTTTTTACACGTTATTTGGTTTAAAACACATAAAAAGCACGAATGTAAAAACTACACAAATACAAAAATACAAACATTAAAACTTATAACTTATATTAACTTATAACATCTGTCCGTAGGCAAGTAAGATATGTCAATTTACTGTGTACCTGTACTGTGAGATTAGAAGGTTTGCATGGTGGAAAGGTACTAAGACAAGTTAAGTCCGCGGTAGCACCACGTGAACAAATCTCCCCCGCGAGCACGTGTGGCTCCGAAAAAGAACCGGAGGGACCCAACGCCCCGAACAGCATGCTCCGCCTGTTGTCAGGAAAATGTTCATTCTCCCGACGACAGGCAGAGCACACCGCTTGAAACGCTGAGCCCCCGGCCCCCCAGAACCACACACACTCACAAAAGAGACCCATCCACACGGCGCCACCGCAAACCCATCCCGTCCCAATACCTGTACTGTGTTATTCCTATTTGTTTAACAAAAGTTAAGTTGCTTATGAAAATTTTATAAACGGTGGCAAGATATAGTAATGTAATAGTCACGTGGTATATAGCACGCTATATTTTATGGGAATCTTAGGGGGCTTATTTCTTCCTATAGTCGTTTCATGCAAGACTTTCAAGCAAGATGGCCAGATCAAGCTTATTGCATTATGTATGGCAGCACGTTCATGTTATGTTCAGAAAATCATACAAAAGTACATGTAATCAAAAGCTGCAAAAAGTCATGGAATTGAGGGCTCCAAATCCCAGGGACACCAAAGCTCCTGTTCCACAGCCACTGTGATAAAAAAGAAGATGTTTTGCATGTTGCAATTTGATCCACCTAAAATGACTACGTGAATTAAGTGCACGATGTCATGATTCTGGGCACAAATTCAAGATTAAGGACGGAGTCTTTTCAGATGTGGTCAAAACTGTTTCGAGCAAGAATGAGGGCACAAAAGCAAAAAGAGGTTCTTCATCTGAGAAGCAATATACCACAAGCAGCTGAGCCCAATTGAGTCGAAAGAAATTAAAGTTATTGGCAAAAAAATTCAATCTAACCTTTTTCTGTTGTTTGCAAGCCTCCTCTTTCTCCCTCAGCCTCTCTCTCATCAGGTCTTCCAGCTCAGCCAATGACTTCCCCAAGATGTCCTTGTCATCGAAGGGTTTTGTCTTACCTCTTCCTTGCTCTAGATGCCTCTGCAGCTGACTGATGCGAGCAATCACATCACTTGGATGCAACAAAGCACCCAAAGCTTCTTGCATTTGTTCTTGCTGACTGTATAGTTGGTCTTCTAATTCCTCTCTCTGTGCCTGTGATGATTGAGGACCATTTAAAAGAAAACTGTGAGACAGTATTTCCTATTCTGTACTCTCAGCAAAAGTCTCCCCCTCAAACAGTGAAAAAGGGAGAGTTGAGAGACACAAGTGATAACAGCGTTGCTGGTGAAAACCCTCAGCCGGAGTCAAGTTATCATCTGGAAACCATTTTAGAGAACAAAATCTTATTAACCTTTAACTCGCTACAGTGACCTTAACCTTTGACCTTTTGATCCCCTCACCAAGCCACTTGCCTACTCCGAAGTTACAATCCCAAACGACATTTCTAACTCAAGTTATCATCAGAAAACTAAGCTGCCCGGACGGACGAACGCCAAAAGCGATGACAATTATACCCCTCCAACCTCTCGGCTGAGGGGTAAAAATGAGTATCATTGTGTGTCTTTGCATCATATGCACACAAATCAATCATGTGCCCCAAAAATCAGTAATATAATCCATATCTGATTTGCACCCCGATATTTATTATGGGAGTTGCGAACTTACACACCGGTGAACTTCTGCAAAATTGTTCAATTTTAGTTGCAGTAATACTGCTGACAAGCAAGACTGAACTTTAAAACAACTAGGTAGACACATAATAATACCTGCAGTTTTCCGAGTAGGTTGGCTACCACCTCATTCTTGGCACAGTCATGTGACTGGTCAATGGACTGCCTAAGAGCTTCAACCTGTCTCCTCTGTGCATAAAGTTGCTTCTTTAACATACCATTTTCTAGCTTTAATAGAAAAATAAACACATGTCTTTGTGTCAATTTCAAACAAAAATCTGTGTGTGGTATATTGTTCATGCCTTTAGGCCCAATAAAAAAAACAACACCTGATTAGCGTCCCTACCCACTTCCGTTTTTGAGTTTGCCTTCTTCTTTTTTTAAACCGAAAAAATTATAGATTTTAAACAGTGACATCATTTTGTCCTCTTTGTCTGTTGCATCTAGCCCATATAAAGCTGGTACATACATGTACATGTATGTCATTTCCTGAGTCCAATCACGGCCATTTAAAAAAAAACAACCTGGCAGCCATCTTGAAAAATAGCCCGGTCAGCGGCCATTTTGGAGGGGGAAAAAAAGGCCTCTCGCTTCAATTTTTTGTTCAAAAGGCAGGACCCTTAACATTTTTTTGGTGTATTTGGCCTTACATTTGCCCTATATGTACAGCTGTATGTACATGTACATGGACTGCATTGCGCTGTAGATAAGTACATGTATATAGGATGAAACTAAGTTAAAGCAGTGCCCACAAACTCCTAGCTCTGATGAAGTCCTAGTCAGGCCGAAAATTAAGTTCCAGTGTTCCTGGTGAGCACTGCTTTAACTTAGTTGCATGCTACATACATGGATCTTGAGACCAAAGGTCCAATTGGGTTGATATTTGGTACATGTACGTACACAGACAGGGACGTGTTACAGATGAAAATCAACAGATTCTGGAGCGTTTGACCATTAAACTTATATATTGCCAAAAAAAGAGGCCTAATTAAACATTCTTTTTTCATAATAGACTCAGTAGGGCATAGATATGTAAACAAAATGTTGAGAAATATGTGCACAAACATGAAGCTAAAGATAGTGATGCAGAAGTTTGAGGAATACTGTATACCAAAAAAGAACATCACATATGAGTGACACAGATTCTTCACTCGAGGCCAGCCAGCAAACGCAAACGTTGCAAATCGTGCGAATTTGGCGATCTTAAAGATTCCTTGATAAGGGATCGAATCATTTGTGGCATTCCTGATGATGCACTAAGGGCACGTCTCCTCAGAGGCGATAACTCAAACCTTGAAAAAGTGCTCCAAGTATGCCGAGCAGCAGAAGCCACCAAAGTACAAGCCAAAAAGCTGGCACCATCAGATACGTCAGTTGATGCAATGTATGCCAAAAAGAGTAAGGCAAATTCACAACAAAAAACACAGGCAGCAACCAACAGAGAGTGTGGCCGATGTGGAAGATCGCATGAATATGCAGCATGCCCCGCCCATGGAAAAAGTGCACAAAATGCGGCAGAGCAAATAATTTTGCACAGTGTTGCAAAACACCATGTACGAAGCCTAAGCACAAAAAGAAAATACACAATGTAAGTGAATGTCCTGAAGAGATAGAGGAATTCTTCGTTGATGTGGTGGAGAGCGGCATGACCAAAGATGAATGGACACTCGCCTTAGAGACAGAAGGTACAAGAGTGACCTACAAGCTAGACACGGGTGCACAAGCAAACCTACTACCCGAGAAGCTGTATAAACAAATGAAACCCAAACCGAAGTTGCACACTGCAAGAGTGAAAGCCACAGGATACTCTGGTGTGGACATTCCCATCACAGGCAAATGCATGGTGAAGGTGCAACATAAAAGTGAGACACACTTCATCGCATTCCTCATCACACCAGGTAACTTTCAGCCAATATTAGGCTTAAAGGCATGTGAAAAGATGAACCTTTTCAAACGGGTTCTCAACATCAACCAAAATCCTTCGGTGACAGATGAGTTTCCAGATGTATTTACAGGATTGGGATGCTTGCCTGGACAACATCACATAACTATCAGTGATGATGTTGTGCCAGTACAGCACGTTTGAAGAAAAGTAAAGGAAGTTTTCTGCAGGTGTGCCCACTCCAAGACAAGCTAAAAGAGGAGCTGAAGAGAATGGAACAACTGGGAGTAATCACAAAAGTATAGAAGGGCAGGTTGGGTTTCTTCCCTGTGCATTGTCGACAAGAAAAACGGCAAGCTCAGAGTATGTCTCAATCTGAGAGATCTGAACAGAGCCATCAAAAGAGCTCACTACAAATTGCCATCTCGTGCAGAGATTATGTCACATTTTGCCGGCGGAAAATTCTTCAGTAAATTAGATGCGTCTAGTGGATTCTGGCAAATTCAGCTGGATGATGCCAGTTCTTGGTTGTGTACATTCATCACACCGTTTGACAGATACAGATTTCTGCGTCTTTCCTTTGATATTACAAGTGCCCAGAGGTGTATCACAAGATCATTCATGACCTCTTTTCCGAAGTACCAGGAGTGAACACGATGATGGATGGCATCATTGTGTGGGGTTCAACCAGAGAGGAACATGATCGATGTCTCCAGCAAGTACTCGATATTGCTAAGCAGAACAATCTGAAACTCAACAGTGAAATATGTGAGTTTGGAGTCAGCAGTTTGACATTCACAGGAGATGTCATCAGCGACCAAGGAGTCCAGCCAGATCCGAAAAAAAAGTCTCAGCCATTCACAACATGGAGAGACCACAAAACAAGACCGATGTTCAACGGTTCCTGGGCATGATAAACTACATGGGTAAATTCATCCCAGACCTGTCTACCAAATCGGAGCCACTCAGAGTTCTACTTGACAAAAATAACCTCTTCACATGGCAAAATGCACAAGAAAAAGCATGGACACAACTTAAGCATGATCTGACCACAGAGCCATTGCTAGAGTTCTATGACCCGACAAAGCCAACAAAGCTATCAGCCGATGCATCACGCAATGGTCTTGGTGCAGTTCTACTACAGCAGTATGACGACGCATGGGCACCAGTTGCATATGCCTCAAGAGCAATGACTGATGCAGAGACACACCATGCCCAGATAGAAATAGAGCTGTTCGCAATAACGTATGCATGTGAAAGATTTCACCAGCACATCTACGGGCAACAGGTGGAAGTGGAAACAGACCATAAACCACTCATTCCACTGTTCACTAAACCACTGTGCAACTGCCCATTGAGAGTACAGCAACTACTAATCAGAGTCCAGCGATATGAGTGTCCTTCACTCCAGGCAAGTTCATGTACACTGCAGACACACTGTCTAGGGCTGCAGACCCTACTGAAGAGAAAAACAGCCATAGAGTTGAGGACATCCATGTATATGTTGACACAGTGCTGAAATCCATGCCAGTTTCATCCAACAAAAAAGCAGAAATAAGAGAAACACAACGAGATGAAACTCTACAGACCTTGAGAAGAGTAACACATGAAGGTTGGCCAGACATCAAAAGCCAATGCCCAGCTAGCATACATGACTACTGGAATGTGCGCAGTGAATTATCAGAAGCTGATGGCATGTTGTTCAAAGGGACAAATATCATAATCCCTTTATTACTGCGCAAAAAATACATGAAGGTCACCTCGGCATTGAAAAATGCAGAGCCAGGGATGTCATGTATTGGCCTCGCATAAAACAAGATGTGAACAATATGGTGAAGAACTGCAACGCATGTCTGACATATCAGAAAAATACACCGGCAGAAAAACTCCAGCCTCATCCAGTTCCCAATCGTGCATGGGAAAAAGTAGGTGCAGATTTCACAGTGGACTATTTCTCACAGTTCATCGAAGTCTGCACACTGAGTACCACAACCAGTAGAACTGTCATAAAGAATATGAAGTCAGTGTTCTCTCGACAAGGAACTCCCTGTGAAGTATTTACTGACAACGGCCCACAGTTCGGAAGTGCTGAATTCAAACGCTTTACTGCAGATTGGGATTTCGTTCATTCTACATCCAGTCCACAATACCCTCAGTCCAATGGACTTGCAGGGTCTGCTGTGAAAATCATCAAGAACATGATTCGGAAGGCAGCATGCAGTGGCCAAGATATCTACAAGGCACTCCAAATCAATCGAAGCAGCCCACTTGAGTGTGGAAAATCCCCAGCTGAGTTGTTGTATAACCAACGCATCCGAACCAATCTGCCTATTGCAGATAGTTTGTTGGAATTTCAGCATCTTGACACTCAAGCCTTCAGGAGGAGAAAGATGGAACAAAAGAGCAAGCAGAGTATGCAGCACCAAAAGCAGACTGGAGCACATGCCCTACCCCAGCTTCAGACAGGTGACACAGTCCGACTACTAGACATGGAGAGCTCCACTTGGTCTAAAGATGGAGTGGTGATAGCAACCCTTCCCAATCAATCCTACATGGTTCAGACAAATTAACACCGGTACACTCCGCAGGAATAGACAAATGCTAAGGAAGACAACTGTCAATCAACAGGGGCAAGAATCTAGTCATTCTCCATTGGATACACCATCAGTAGAACAGGCCCCATCAACCAGTACCTCAATGCCAGAAGCATTCAGCACACCCAGTGTGAGCATAACTCCAGCCAGTATTCCTACTCCAGCCAGTATGCCTGCTCCAGCTAGTATGCCTGCTCCAGCCAGTATGCCTGCTCCAGCTAGTATGCCTGCTCCAGCCAGTATGCCTGCTCCAGCCAGTATGCCTGCTCCAGCTAGTATGCCTGCTCCAGCCAGTATGCCTACTCCAGCTCAAAGCAACATGGAACTCCTGAAAATGACTCGAAGTGACCGTGTTGTTAAGCCACCAGACAAACTGAACTTGTGAATGTGCCAAATGGTTCACCTGCAAAAGACTGAAGAACTGGACTTTTGCATGAAGTTGCATGCTGATAGTTTAGAAAAGAATTCAGCTAACAGTTAAAGTGTTTAAAACTAATTTAAAACTAATCCAGTGTTATTCAAGTTATTACTAACATTGTTTAGAATTTAAGAATTTAATGTCAGTCTCCCCACAGTTTACGAAAACCAAGAACAACAAATTAGTACGAGATCTGAATCTGCTTTTATTATTATTATTACTTTTATTATTATTATTATTATTCCCACAAATGTACCATTAGGGAGACACGTTATCGTAATTTCTTCGACAAAAGGGAGACACTGGTCATTAGGGAGACATTTTCATGTCTCCC